ATATATTATTCTCGCGCGATGAGGGGCGAAGTGAAAAGTATGCTAGCAGAATGATAGTGACGATAGTGCGTCACGATATCTCGGCTGTCGTTAGTCGCAATATATGACCGGCGTTATCGAGAAACGCAAATCCTATTGCCATTTTCTTGAGAGCAAGAGATTTCTCTGTATATAAAATCGCGTTGCAGACGTGAGATCGCAGTGCGATTTACCTGTCTGCGGAGTTACCTACGCAAAATGACCATACAAGTATTCTGTTATCAGAAAAGTATATTGTAGAAAATCCCGATCGATTAAGAACGATCATTCAATCGTTCGTTTTTAAATATCAATATCTCGGTACGTTTGTCTAATTTAAATTGTGTTTTTAATTATTTTGATCATTCTTTCTTTATGCAGTATACAAAATTATAAGATTACATAATTGGATTATTTTCCATATAACACGACATCATAGAAAGTTTGTAGAGCGCAAATTGATGACAATGTGAATTATACATTTTGTGAATTAAATTTTTCTCCTTCTCTCTTTTTCTCTTTCCTTCCTCTTTCCCTCTTCTTCTTTACTATCCTAATTTTTTAAACAGTTTTTGAAATTCAAAAAAAGATATATACGTATAAAAGTTGTTTTATCACGAAAAATTACGTAATTCCTCAATATGTTTGAATTTACAAAGAGCACCTTCTGTGTGAAGTCAGCAACCCGTCTTACTTTTGAGTAGAACGCTCAACGTGCCTTCAGCGCTTGTTCGGTCGATAGATCGACAAGGAAGAGCAGATTGTGGTTGTATCATATATATGCGCGATCGTACCGAGTCGATAATAACGTAACCGCCGAAATTGATCAACTGCTTATCGATCGGAGTTTTGCTAAACACATAGTGCTTATAATTTATAACTATCGAATCCTGTTAAATCTTCGTCATTTTCACTATTTGACAATAACAGTTTTATGTGGCATTCATTGCGTAGTAACGTGTTCTATATATTTAATCATCACATATGTTTTCGCTTTATATCTTCTTCGCTTTACTATTTATTCCGATTGAGACAATTGTTTGAGAATCAATTTTTTGACATTGTTAATTAAAAAAAAAAAAAACTAGATGAAATTCTTCAATAGAGAAAATTATGTTGAGTACGTTATTTACTGAAAAATTAAAGTTAATATAGTTATTTATGATTTTCTTTCCCCCTATGTGTAGTAGTATTAATTACTGGGCCTTCCAATACTGGCCTGCATCTTTCGACGATATTTGGTTCGAGCTTTTGTTTCACAAGTGTTGTCTAATGTTTACAAATCATAATTTTGCTTACATATCATATTCATATAGGACGGAATCCGCGCGTTTTCCGGTCGTCCTTGATATTTCAGACGTATACCGACACGAATCTGCGATGTAGAAGCTAAATGAAATTTGTCTGTGGTATAAATGTTTGTTTTAATTCTCGTTTACCTTGAGCCGCGAGTATCGGTCGATAGTATAGTGGCAATCAGATACTACTTGTTGAAAGTCGATATATGTTTTATAGCCGGCCTTTCTATCTGTTGACTCGCATCGCAAAGTCCGGGAACGGGATCCGAATAGTTTTTAATGAGAATTAATGATAAAGTCGATAATGTTTTATCGTCAAATGATTTATTGATTTATGCTTTCTATCAGTGTTACAAATGCATGAGATGAAAAAAGTAGAGATTCGGAAAGAGTATCGATTATACTTTTTTTTTTACATTAATAATTTTTCATCATTTTCGAATATTTTTTTTTTTAATATCTTCTTCTGATGAATACGCAATGAACTAAAGACTAATAAATAATAAATTTTATCATTTTACACTTTTTATATCTCAGATTTGTTCACAATTTGTTTTAATCATAAAACTTTTTATTAATTAAGACTTTTGGAATAATTTCTGATATCAAAACGTTTTATTATATATCTCGACATAATTATATATTGTTAAATTAAAGCGTAGAAAGCAAAGAAAGTTATAATTTTATTTATGGCTTTATTTAAATAGATCACAAAAAATAAGAATTAAGTGAAAAACAAATAGATAAAAAAATTATAATTCTTATATAACTTTGCAAATCTTATTTCATCTTACTCGTATATTAAGTTTTCTGATAATTCTAATGGCTATCGATACTTCTTTTCCGATATATGTACATATAAATATGTGTTTCTTCCGATAAGCCATGTGTATCGATATTTTTCTTTCGATACTCCTTTCGATATTTCTTTCGATATCCTTAGGCAGATAAGCACCGAGCCATCCGGAAGGTGAGCTATGAACACAATGACAGGTTATTCAATCCCAAGAGAGAGTTCGAGATCTTTCTGTTGAACGACGGTCTTTCTGCGGAATTTCAACATGATGCTGCTATAACAAGAACAGATCTGGGCAATTATTTAACATACAAAATAAGTAACATTTCTAACAGTTTTGTCTTTTTCATTATAAAATGTAATACCATTAGAAAAATCATTAACAATAATTTTTTTCAAATATTTTTTTACAAAAAAATATATATCTTTTTTTTTAATGTTTTCTTTCACTGACAAAACTTATTAAAATTTTTAAATTACTTGATTTCATCAAATTATCTTATTTTCAAATATTTTACACAAAAATTAAAATGTTACAATACTATTGGACGACAAATTATGATTTAATAAGTCATTATACATACAAAGTAAGATACAAAAGTTATTGTTTAAAAAAAAAATCATCATTGAAAAGAGATTATTTATAAAATATATGTTGAACACAATAATGTTAATACGTTAATATAAAATTTTATTTTCAGTAAATGGTATATCAGATCGTTATGTGAAGTTTTTGTAAAGCCCAGAACTGATCAACACAGTTCTGATCAAAAGTTCGATTTGAATTGCATTTTAAAAGATTTCTTGTGAATGAACCGGAATTTAATTTGGCAAGTTCGCTTATCTTTCTTGGTGAAGTGTGTGACGATTCCGTTGACGCGTAGAATCGTATCGTCTATTTTTAAATCGAGCGTATGTACAGGATGTTCGCAAATTCGTGATTAATGCGAGGTAAAAAAATTCCAAATCGATTTCTAAATTGTTTGCTACTAAACAACAAGTCTTCTATTGTTTTGTATAGAATGCTTGTATCACGCGTATATAAGTGTATTGCAAATTTGCATAAATAAATAAACCTCGCAAATTTTTTAAATGTTTTCCTTACTTTTTTCTCTTTTCGTGTCTTATCATTACACTATGTAAGGGTACTTTGCGCATTATTCCACTCTTTTGTCGTCGCAATTTTCGGCGGAATGTACGTTGTCACACGCTGTGCAAACAATTCGAGAATGTATGGGCAATGTTCGTCACCGCGATTTACTCCGTTTTGATGTGACAAGTGTTATCAATACTGCCATCCATATGCGTGTATGTGTTTATAATTCATTTTTTATTCTATTGTTATGGATATTAACATAGTTTTGTGCGAAATTCTATTCATGCATGCGGCGTTTTATTATCACGATAGCGCGCGCGTAATATCTTATATTATTTCTGTAAATAAATTTATTTTATTTTATTCTGTCTCCCGTTTCTCTGCGTTTGGTTTTTTTTGCGCGCGCATGCCGATCGATATTTCCGCAGGACGGGAACTGCAACACGAACTTATGTTAGACAGAACACTGGTTATCCGGCGACCAGTGAAAATTACCGCGTGTTCGCAAAATAACTGTGAATTCTGAATTGAATCAAGTTTTTGCTAAAATGATTCCACATCAAAGTTTCGGACAGAGCTCAAAATGGCGTAATCTTTAATTAATCAACGCGACTGAAACCGGTATAATTTTCAGGCGAGTCTAGATTTCGATACTGTAGACATGCGGGGCCGCAGATCTCTACGTATATTACATTATATGCTTTTGCATTATATTTCATAACATCTCGAAATCGAATTTAATAAAATTACAGTTTTATTTTTTTCCCCATTTCAATATTTATGCCTATTCCTTTTTCCGTTTTTTCACAAAAACTTGTCTTGGTTTTTTAAATTTTAATTATTTGTTTAAACATATATATAGTTTACAGAAATTTTTGATTCAATTTTTACTGCAAAAGCACGTAATAATGTTAGTGCGCGATCAAGTGAATTGTTGACCGTGACTTTCCGAGCCAACATGCGATTTCTCGCTCGTTAAATATAGATCCTTCGAAGCGTAGTCAAGAATTGCAGGCATGAAACAATAAAACAACGCAGAATAGATCAAAAGGAATCGCGGCGATCAAGAAGATACGAACCGTTGTACAACATAATGGTGGAAATCTATATAATAACAAAAATGTAATGTATTCCCCGGTCTTTGTAAATCATTTTTTTCATATCGGAATCATAGATATCTATCATTTTGCGAACTTGCAAATTTTTCAAATTTAAAGAAATTGTACCACTATTGATAGTCCAACGATTCTAACTTTGCGAATCGCGAGGAACACCAATCTTTTTGTCTTCCTCTACATAGAGAGAAACAAAAAAATCTAGTCGACAATGATGTTCAGAAAAAGAGAAAGAGGATCAATATATACATATAAAGTAGTAAGAGAAAGGAAGAAAGACATCGGGTCATCGGGAAAAGAGAGTTTGCGGCCGGAAAGTTGAAAAAAAAAAAAAAAATTGCCATAAAAGCGGCAGACGCCTGCTGTCGGTGCAATGGAAATTTCCAGAAGTCTGAGGGTGGGGAAGGTAGGCATATAGGAGAAGTGGAGAATGGCAAGGAGAAAGAAGGGAGAGAGGGAGAGAGAGAGAAAAAGAGAGTTGGCGAGTCAATGAGCAAGCGAGCTAACCAGTAAACGACGAGGGTGACTGCTGTGGCGGGAGTGGAAGGGTAGGGCAAGCGTGGAAAGCAGCGACTCCTGGCCGCGGAAACCAGACAGACGCGGCTGTTGCGAAGAGAAATCTAAGAGAGAGAAACGGAGTAACAAAACTGAGTGTTCACGGACGATGCTGTTCTTACCTTCGTTTTCGCGAAGGGCGCCAGGCACAAGGGCCATGGCTGCATCATCTGCCTTCTATGAGAGCCGGACATCCTGTCGGCACGTAGGAAAGGGAAATGTGTGTTGACGATGGCCAGAGGGGGACGATAGCGGCAGCAGCGGCGGCTACACGTTTTCACACTCGTACGTGTGTCGGTGGCCTGTCTTACACGGCGTGGCTATGTGGTGGTCGTCGTGCTTCTTTTTTTGGTTGTCGTCGGTTAGGCTATCGGTTGCTTATCTTGGCCGTCTTGTGTGCAAATCTCTCTCTCTCTCTCTCTCTCAGCGAACAAAATTATTTTCGCATTGAGTTGCTTCGGTGCCCCTCGCAAGCGACGCCGATGAAACGTGTTGCAGACCGGGTAGATGGAACGCCGCGACAACTCTTCTCTTCTCTCGTCAATTCGTGACCGGCGCAGTTCGCATCGGTCGGTCGACGAATGCGTGCGTAGGCGTACGCAGATGCGTGCGTGCGTGCGTTTGTATGTACGTATGTACGTGCTTGCGTGCGTTGCGTGTATCACAGCCAAATCACACGTGGCTCTGTTGTGACAACAAATTTGCTGTGACTGGATTTATAGCACGTCGTTGGTGTCGTCTTCGTCGATGCAGACAGCGATTGTGGCTGATCAGAAGCACACGCTTTCTCCCTGCGCGCTTTTGATCGATCGCGCTCGATATACTGTATTGCGCGCCGTCGCGTGTCCTGAGTATATATCGCGAGTCGATGCTCCGCGTGCGTGCGTATGTGTGAGCAAGCAAGCCTGGTGCTGATGGTTGTCGATCGAGCCCGGTGCGCGGATGATGTTACGCACCCTCGGGACGTGGGGAATTATCGGGATTCTAACGGCCTTTTGTGGTGATCTCCACCCGTCTCCTTGATTGGCGTTCACCGCACTGCTATAACCGCTAGTTCCCAGAGTCTCTGCGAATTGTGCTTTGCTCTCCTATTTACTCCCGTCTACGAATTGCGCTGTAATATTAGGAAAAGGGCGGCAATCTTCTGTGCGATGAGAAAAAGAAAATCTCTCTCTTTTTCGTTTCTTCTGTGCACGGTTGTGCACGCGCTGTTAAACGGTCTCTCTCGATGATGTGTGTTACTTGCTCGTGGTCAGCGCAACTTCGTGTGTGACAACGGAACGCGAAATTCCTGGCGATCTGCCGATCGAGACCGAGTTCAAAGATCTCGACTTTCTCCACGGTATGCCGATTTGTTGTCGTCTCCTTGTTGTGTCAATTTGCAATCGTCTCCGTCGTTGTAGCGGCTCCTGTATGGTCCGGTTGGCATGCAAAAGTCTGATGTTACGTGTGTTTGGGGAACTTTGCTAATCGGTTCGGGGGGTTTGTCTTTTATATACACGCCGCTGCGGCCGCTTAAGCGCCGCCTCCTGGGGCGCATGGTCTAGGGTGGGGATGGATGGGTCATCGCGGCGTCGCGGCGCGACAGGTCTGTGTCGCACGCCGCTCGCGAAATTATCATACATTGGTGAGAGACCACACGGATGCGACCACGAGCATAATACAATAGATATACTTCTAGTGCGGAAAAACAAGCTGTTAGGCATTACTCCGATTGCATCATTTAAACGAGTAGATTAATTTGTGCAACAGTTATTTTCTGTTGTTTTCCATTTTGAAGAGAAGGCAGATTTTTGTTACCAATTAAATTAATGGAAAGCAAAACTTAATTTATACTTGAAATTGTAACAAAGATAAAGTAATTTGAATGCGCACACGCTATTTTTCTTTTTTACAAAATCTCTCTATCTATATATATGTATATGTATATATATATATATAGAGAGAGAGAGAGAGAGAGAGAGAGAGATAATAAAAACTATATTCAAATACACTAACATCTCATAATAATCTCGAATTGGCCTTTTCTGATATTTTAACGAGTTTGTTCTTTATATTCTTTTTATATTCTTTTATTACCTAATAAAATTCTCTCAAAAATCGTGTGTATATATATTTTTTTGAGAGGATTTTATTAGTTAATAAAAGAATGAAAGAACAAACTCGTTAAAATATCAAAAAAGCCCAATTCGAGCCATTATATGAGATGTTAGTGTATTTGAATAGAGTTTTTATTTAGAACTAATAATTGAAAACGTTCTGATTTTACATCAAATTTCCTTTAGTGATAAACTAAGTGGAAAGATAATAAAAAGAAAGTTACATAAGCATAAAATAAAAATACAAAAGTTATGCCGACTTTTGTATTTTTTGTCTGCAAACATAATTAAATATATAAATCTTACCTGGAAAAACAGCGCGTTGAGCGATGTACCATAACAGAGAAGATATGATAATCATCCAAGTCCGGAAAAATGAATTAAGATAAAGAAATTTATTAAAAAACCAAAAAATAAAGTTAACCAGTTAAAACAATAAAAACATACTTAGTCAAGCAACTAACACTTGTATTAAACTTGTGAGAGACAAACTACAAATCAAATTACTAAGAAAGAACTACCACAGTATACTGATTTACAATCTTCAAAATGCTTGCTTATAAATATAGTTTCCCCCAACACAAAATCCGATAACGAAGTTATTTTTGAAAGTCATATCCAAACAAACGAAGAAACGTTTACTGTTTAAATTTATATTGTAATAAGAAGAACGGTCTTCTTCTTGTCGGTGTCAGATATAAGTTGATGGGATTATCTTGTAATTTAATATGGAGTATCTCGGAAATGGATCTTTTAAAATAAAAATTCTCAACATTCAAAATTTGTGTGCCTTGCTAATCGCGCGCGCGAAATTATGTTCCGTATCAATTCTGTGTTCAATAAATACTGAGATATTTGTCAATTTTTCTTTTGTGATCTGATTCTTATATATTCTATAATTCTGGTCTTTAATTATTTTTTTGTTTGATTACCATTACAAATTAACGCATTTAATTCGGATAATGTTCTTGTTCTAATCTAGTTCAAAGAATCCTCTCTCTCTCTCTCTCTCTTTTTTTCATATATTATTTAATATAATATATTAAAAGATTTTAATAAATATGTACTTAATTTCTTCAGACTCATATTATGGTTTGTACTATATTTATTTTTATTAATTTAATTAGTATTATTCAGCTTTTGTTATTTTATAATTGTTTACTTTTTTTTATCAAGAATAAGATAAAAGTGAAAAACTAAAAAATTATAAATAAATAAATAATATATAACATAATAAGTAGATTCTATGGAAATCTCTCTTCTGTCTACGCAAAATTATGAATACAAATATTACGAAGATGATCTTTTTTTTAACTATAAATTTTTCGCGATGTCCCTGATGTGACGCTATCTATATATTTTGCACCGATACAATATCTCAACGAGACAGATTTTCTAAAAATGCTTTTTATCGCTTTTGTGAGGACATATGTGTTTGTATTAAACACGTAATATATAAAATATATATTATATAAATATATATATATATAAAATATGTTTTAATTCCAAATAATTGGTGCGCGTTTTATATATATATCTTTGTAATATAGTTTTTATTGTGTTAAATTTCATTATCTTTTTTATTATAGATTTGATTATATTAAAGATGACGCGAAATTGTTCATGTGTGATGTCCTAAGATATAAATTATGTAGTTTACATAATTCGGCCGTGATTAAAAAGGGTTGTTTGATATGTAGCGCACATTCACACACAGGCAACAGTCGTCTTACATTGATGTTCGTCAAGAAAGGACGCAGTCTCGGCCGCTCGTGGAAGGTTCGAGACGTCCGACCTCCTTCGACCATATATGTAGTAGCCAGTTCTGTCTCTGTCACGTTTGTCTGCAACGTACCGCGTATACATCTCTTCCGTAGAAGACTCGGATACCGTTCTTTCTTCCTGCTTCTCTAACTGCAAATCCTTGTATATATGACGTTTTCAATAGAGTTATGATGTTGCAATTGCTTAGACAATACGCGATTGGCTTCGATGTATATTTTGAGCCCGTTGCAACTTCAATATTCCTCTCTCTTGGAATTTTATTTATATTAACTCTTCAAAGCGTAACTTCAAAAGCGTAAAATTTTAGTTATATTAACTCTTTGTTTTTCAAAACAACCTAATAGTTAGACTGACTGGATCTGTAAGATCCACGTGATTTTAAAATTAAACATTTCTCCGCGAAAAATCATATTTTTTAAATGTTTTTAAAACTCAAAAGTTTGAACGATTCTGCGTCGATAAAAAAAATAAAAAAAAAACAAACAAACAAATTGAAAAAATCTCTAGTAGTTTTGAAGATATAAACGTAAAAAAAAATCTAATTCCAACTAGAAACATTGGTTTGAAACTTTTAGGTAGATTTGAAAGACCTATGTCAGTCCATAAGGGATTAATTTTGTTATATTATTTTTTTTTATCTATTTATCTACAAACGTTAACTCTCTTTCTAAAAATATATAATTTTTTCTAAGAATAAATTATGTACTCATTTTTTTTATTTGTGTCGCCGAAGCAGGAATTGATACTTTTTTATAGCAGTACCACAAATTACCGATCTCTTTGTAGAGAATGCAGACTTTCTACAACGAATTATTGCGCTAATTGTCAAGTGTCCTCTTTTTCTAACAAAAAAATATACAGAAATGTTTGCTTGTGGTTCGCAATTTTGATTGATAAAAATGCATGAACATAAAGAGGAGAATGTTGAAAAAAAAGACTACTCCGTTTTGCAGGAGTTAATATTTTATAATTTCGATAATTGAGTAATTTATCGGTGCATATGTAATTAATCGGTCTATTTTTACCGACGATATTGCACGCGTTTATCTCCCGTTTATATAATGTACATATTTGCTTTTTGGTAACATTTGAGACAAGTTTACGACCTGCGTGAACTCCGACCGCTTGAAAAAAGAAAGTGATATTGCGTCTTTGCCAAAAGTCACGTACATGTTAGGCCGTTTGAATAAAAAAAACCATAACCTTATCCTGCAAGTTTTAGGAGCAAATCCTCAGTTTGCTCAAAATTTTTATTTATTAAACTTTGAGAATTCGTTCCTAAAACTTGAAGGTTAAGGTTATGCTTTTTTTATTCATACGACCTGTTGTCTCTATGTAAATCATTTGTAAAGTTCAACTAGTTGCTCGCAACTTTCTCACGTTTTTATTGCTGGATAGATAAGAGATTGTGTTAATTACACATAATTGTCACATTTATATGACAAGTGATATATTAGAAAATAACGGATATGTATTTATATGGACATAGAAAAAAATTAAATAAAAGAAATTCATATAATTTGATTGATTTAAATTAAATATAAATACTCGGAATTTTGTTTGCACTTGCAAACCCAAATAAATATTACATTGCTAAATAAACTTTGAACTTCAAAAGCGTAAAATTTTATTTTTTTTTAATTTGTGTGGTAGAGAGAAGGAAACGATTTTTCAAATTCTTTTTCTTCAATAAGTGTAAATAGTTCTTTATACAAATATTTAGACTATTAATTAAACCTTTGTCGATACATCATTATGAGCAATAATGCGAGTGTTTTTAGTGACATTAACGTGTTAAAAACAAGCAATCCTGTAAGCACCAGTCGAAGATGAATGTTATTTATTTACTGAACTTGGAATGATTCTATTCAAAAAATATGTTATATCTTAATCATTTCTTTGACCCATATTATAGACAGATATATAAATTACATTGTGAGAAAAGTCACGTTTTGAATACAAATTGAACAAAAAAATACTTGTTTTCGAAAACTCTATTAGATATTTATATTTTATTAATATTTTTATATACAAATGTATTTTTATTACTAATTTATTTAGTATATCTGTCATGTATATGTATATGATAATTTAAAATTATATAAGAATTAGATATGTTTCAATTTGTAAAATAATTATACATAACGGAAACATAGCGAACATATTGTGTCAGTTATGTAACAAAAACGTTTCTATGATAATAAAACAATAATAATATGCTTGTTATCGACAAAACGATTTGAGCCGGCTTTCACAATAAAAAAAAATTGCATCATACAATTAATAAATGATGAAATAACAGGTAAACGAAGACAATCGCGCATCTGACGAAGTTTACAAAAAACATTGCATATATGTAAAGAAATGTTAAAAAAATATTTGATACAAAAATAATCAGCTGTACAATTGCCATTTAAAAACATTTGCATATTCTTGAAAAGCTAAGTGCAATAAAAAAGCATGTAAATTGGTCAACATGTAAAAGAATATCTGTCGTAAAATCTTACCATTTTGTCGGAATAATATCCAAATAAAGCTAATAAACTTATGCTTGAAAGTGACTACACAAAATAGAAGATATCAGGATATC